GTCAGATCGGCCTCTGGTGTTTTCGGGGTGCCCCTGGTGCCAGCACAGAGGGCGAGGCGGCTCTGGCGGAGGCGCAGCGGGGCTCAGCCCGTGCCCCAGCTCCAGGGAGCCCTGCGGGCTCTGCGTTTCCAGTTGTGCCGCTCCATCACCCTCCGGCCCCGCAGCGGAGCTGGGGACGCTGCCGTGAGGAGGAAGGGTTCGTGGGGACGGGGCTGTCCCTGCAGCAGAGTGGCCCCCGGGACTGCAGTGACAGTGCTGGCTGCTGGCGGAGAAAGGCCCTGGCAGGGTCGGGCCCGGGGGCTCCCGCACCCCCCATTTCCCTGCATGTGGCACAGAAACATTCCTGCTGCCGGGGCTGGGGACAGCCAGCACCCCGGGGGACAGCGGCAGCAGCACGGGGGGACAAGGTCCCCAGTGCTGGAGTGAGGAAGGTGAGGATGGTGTGAGCCACGGCCCAGCTGGAAGGATCCCGGGGAGCTTGGCCACTCCGGCACCCAGCAGTGCCAGCCTCTGTGCCCAGGCTCCCCCTGGGGTCAATAATCTCCACCGAACAGGCACAACGGGGTGTTTGAACCTCACGCTTTCAGCTGCTGCCCTGCACTTCGGCTTTTTTAGGGAAAATGAACCAGAGGATCAGAAATTGGTCAAAGCATCCACACTTTGGGATAAAGCACAAGCTGCTTCCTAGGGAAGAGAGCGAGTGGGAGTGGGACCCCTCCCCTCGCCCTTGCCATCCCCATCACAGCTCCCGCTCCTGGGGACTCCTCAGCTCCCCCATTCCTGTGTGTGGGTTATCCCCCCGTGTCCCCCAGCACATGCGGTGGCTCTGGGCTCACCCTGGCAGCTGGCTGCCAAATGATTCCCCATCAGTTTTTAATTGCCCGAGCGCTCAAAGCCTGAAACGAAACGTTCAAGCTGTCGCTCGCAGGCACAGAGCGATGTCCCCCCGCCCGGCAAAAGGCAATTCCGGCTGTCCAAGGGGAGGGAAGATGGATTTCCCGGCTTGGGGCAGCACCGGGAAGGAGCAGCTGGTAACAGCGGCCATGGGTTGAGTCCCCAGCGCAGCCTGGGACCCTGCTGAGCAAACCCTGAGCCACAGACAGCCCCTTTCCTTGCTCTGGTGCTGAAAGGGCTGGATGTGCCTGTGACAACCCTCCCGGAATAAAGTTCCCTCAAACCCTGGCTTTCCTTGGCTGCTGGGGTGGGAGGCTCCAAGGGGGACCCTGGGGTCCTGCAGTGCAGAGGGCGCAGCTCCTGCTTGAGAAAACCTCCCCTGAAGCGACACCACCGTAACTCCAGGGTGTCTCCCACACCTGACCAGCTTCTCCTTGGCCTTGCAGTGACGTGGAGTCCCGGAGGGGAAATGCATCCTGAATGGGGCTGAGGCCCCCTGCTCGGGAATATGCGGCCTCGGCACCGCGGGGGCAGCACCAGGGCAGCGGCCGGCGTGCGGCGGGATGGTGGCAACCTTCAAGATCGCCGTGCTGGGAGCCCAGGGCGTGGGCAAGAGTGCCATAGTCCGGCAGTTCCTGTACAACGAGTTCAGCGAGGTGTGCGTGCCCACCACGGCCCGCCGTGTCTACCTGCCCGCCGTGGTCATGAACGGCCACGTCCACGACCTGCAGATCATGGACTTTCCCCCCATCACCGCCTTCCCTGTCAACACCCTGCAGGTAGGGGGGCACCCGAGGGGGCCTCCACCTCTGCGGGGTCTCCGGAGACCTCCGTGGGGTTTTGCTGTTAAATTTTGTGGGGTTCCAGTTCTGCATCGCTTTTTTGGGGGATGCTTCTCCCTCCGCATCAGGGTTTGCTTGCTGAATGAGGGATTGTGCCCTCGTGGCTGAGCAGGTCCAGGATAAAATGTGCTTTAAAGTTTGGTGACAATGTACACAAGAGAGATGGCATCCTGCTCCAAGGAGCGTGGCTCTGGCAGTGCCCACAGCCACGTCCAGCTGGGATCCTGGAGCACTGGGATGGATCCTGGAGCACTGGGATCCTGGAGCACTGGGATCCTGGAGCACTGGGATCCTGGAGCACTGGCATCCTGGAGTGCTGGGATGGATCCTGGAGTGCTGGGATCCTGGAGCACTGGGATCCTGGAGTGCTGGGATCCTGGAGCACTGGGATCCTGGAGTGCTGGGATGGATCCTGGAGCACTGGGATGGATCCTGGAGCACTGGGATGGATCCTGGAGTGCTGGGATCCTGGAGCACTGGGATCCAGTCCCGTGCCTGTCAGACACAACAGCAGAGCATTCAGGTGAAAACCTGGAGAGCCAGAGCCCTGATGCACCCACTGCTCAAGCCAGGCAGAGCTTGTCCCCTCCTGGGAGTGGCCATCAGCCCCTCCAGCACGGCCTGGGCTTGTTCCTGGAGCTCTGAACCCACCAGCTCCTCCTCTACCCTCAGGTGCTTCCAAAGCACCCCCACAAGGCAGTGTGGGGTTGGAAAATGTTGCCACCAGTGCCAACAACTTCTGGATGGAGTTAATGGGGGAAAAGGGGATTTTAAGCTCATGCCATAGCCCCAGTCCCAGGGACACAAGTTGTGTCACCACTGTGGGGAAAGGAGCTGGAGGTTCCCAGCTGTGGCTGCAGCCACGCTGGAGGGCAGTGCCACCAGTGGGGCCACCTCAGTCAGTCACAGTGTCCCTGTCCCCAGCAGGAACGGGGTCATGTAGTGCTCCAAGAGTCCCTGCCATCGGGCAGGAGGTGAAGTGAGCATTCCAGGGGAGAGGAGAAGGTTTAAAAATTAATGGGTGAGTGCAGGGAACAAAAGGTCAGCGTGAGAAACAGCCCGAAATAGCAAAGGGTAATTTATTGACACGGCAGCCGATGTTTACACACTCCATTAACTCCTTGCCTCGCTGCACTCCAGAGGAGGCGGCCGGTGGGAGCAGATGGAGGTTTCCAGGGAAGAGAGGGTGATCAGAGGGATGGCTCCGAGGGGAAAGGAGAGGGCCATGGTGAGGGATATGGCTCTGTCTGCTGGGAAACATCGCTGGACTCAGCTCTGTGCCAGGAGAAGCATCCCTGCAGTGCTGTCCTGGAAGAGGAGCAGGAGCCAGTGGCTCTCTGCGATCCTGCTCCCGCAGTGCAACACTTCTGCAGCTCCAGCATCCCGGGAAACCTGCACTGCATGAGGAAAACCATCCTGGCATCGCTGAGCTGCCCCCCAGCACGCTGAAATAGCTGCAGTTTGGTGTCTCCCAGATGTGTCAGGACCCAGAGTAACCCAGAGGCTGCTGCTCCATCCTCCTGCGTCTCTGAGCCTGAGGATCTCCCCACATCTCCCCTGGGTGCACAGGGAGAGGCTCTGTCACTCTGCCCCCTCCCAGCTCCTCCCGTGCTGCCCTCAGTGACGGAGACCAACGCACATCCCAAAACTCCCCTTTCCCCATCTCATTCTGATGATAAACCTGGGAAGGGCTGATTCATGGCTCTGAAGGGGTTTACTCAGGGAGAAGTGATGCTTTTCCTCCCTGGAGAATCTTCCTCCTTTCCTGAGGCACTCAGGAGGGTTTTGCAGTGCTGCCTGCAGGGTCCCACTGCTGGGGTACCAAAGTGCCCGAGTGAGGCAGATTTTCACTCTTACAGCATGGGGAAAAAAAGATTCCCGTTATTCTCAGAAATGCAGGGGTTTCCTAACAGCATGAATTCCTTACAGCTTCAGATTTTGGCTGTAGAGAGGCCACTCCTGCCTGCCTCTGCCCTGGATCCACATCTTGTTCTCAAAGACTCAATTCCTGAGCAGCCTCTGCTTCCCTTCTGTCCCCATGTCCCCTCCAGACAGACCTGCTGCCACCTTCCCCCCCTGACCCACAGAGCTGCTGGTGCCTCTCCCTCAGACCTCAGATGGGGCTCAGCATCCTCCTCACCTGCCCTGCCCCAAAAACCAGGGTGCATCACTAATTAACACAGCTCATTAGCAGCTCTGGAGGACGAAGCTTTTACACACAGAGTAGGGGGCATTCAGCCCCACTCCCAGCTCAGTTTTTTTTCCCCACTCCTAATTACTGGAGCTGTAATTAGGCTGCAATCCTCACTCAGGAGTGGGATTGGGGTTGACAAATCCTGTTACCTGTCCCCTGGATTGAAAAGGGGGATAAGGGATCTCTGGAGCTGTGGGGGCAGACACAGATGGGGCAGAGCAGAGCAGAGGTGGGTGCTGAGGTCAGGGCTGGGGAATGTGCAGCCCCCCTGCTGCCACAGCAGCCTCCTTGGGGTGCCCATCCCCAGAACAGGGCAGGGCAGGGCATCCCCAGGCACGGCAGAGGGGCTGAGCCAGGATTGATCCCTCTCTGCACCTTGCAGGAGTGGGCGGACGTGTGTTGCAGGGGGCTCCGGAGTGTCCATGCCTACATCCTGGTCTATGACATCTGTTGCTTTGACAGCTTCGAGTACATCAAAACCATCCGCCAGCAGATCCTGGAAACGAGGTAGGGATGGTTTTAGGATGGTGTGTGCCCACGGTGGTGGGGCCCTGTGGCTCCTGGAAAGGGAGAAGGGCATCAAGGGGGCACATCCTGGCGTTAGACTGGCACCAAGCCCCTTTGCAGGGATGGGAGCCCAAAAACCAAAACAGCAGAAGCCCAGGCAGGTATCCCGTGTGGGTGAGCCCTGAGTGAGCAGCTGGAGAAGGCATCGAGGGGTGGCTGGCCGTGGAGAGGGACAAGGGGACAAGACAATCTCTGCCTGGCAAAGCGTCAGCCAGGAGCCCGTTTGGGATGGGATGAGCTCTGCGGGCCGGTGGGGCTGTCCCGCCGTGCCCCGTCCCCTTCCATCCTCTGTCACCCCCCGCCCTCCCCAGGGTCATCGGCACCTCGGAGACGCCCATCATCATCGTGGGCAACAAGCGGGACCTGCAGCGGGGCCGGGTCATCCCGCGCTGGAACGTCTCCAACCTGGTGAAGAAGACGTGGAAGTGCGGCTACATCGAGTGCTCGGCCAAGTACAACTGGCACATCCTGCTGCTCTTCAGCGAGCTCCTCAAGAGCGTGGGCTGTGCCCGCTGCAAGCACGTCCACACCACCATCCGCTTCCAGGGCGCGCTGCGCAGGAACCGCTGCACCATCATGTGAGATGTGAGCCCCCCTGCCCCCGGGGACCCCCGGCTCTGCTCCCCGGAGCTGCGCTGGAGGCGCCTCCGTGTCCCCTACGGTGACATTTGGGACGGGGAGCCCTGGGCAGGGCGGTGCAGTGGCCAGGATGGACAGGGAGGTGGCCAGGATGGACAGGAGGTGGTCAGACTGGACAGGGGGTGGTCAGGATGGACAGGAGGTGGCCAGTCTGGACAGGAAGGTGGCCAGGATGGACAGGAGGTGGTCAGCATGGACAGGGGGTGGTCAGGCTGGACAGGGAGGTGACCAGGCTGGACAGAGAGGTGGCCAGGATGGACAGGGAGGTGGCCAGGATGGACAGGGAGGTGGCCAGGATGGACAGGGGGTGGTCAGGCTGGACAGGGGGTGGTCAGGATGGAGAGGGAGGTGGTCAGGATGGACAGGGAGGTGGCCAGGCTGGACAGGGAGGTGGCCAGGCTGCCTGGGCATGGTGAAGGGTGTGGGTGATCCTTGGTTAAACCCCTGAGCTCTCTCCGGTGCTTGAGGCCGAAGCCATCCCTGGGGGCTGTGCCCAGCACTGGAGGGTGGAGCAGGACCCTCGGAGGGTGCCCAGATTTTGGCTGTCGGTTCATCCCTGCCAGTCCCTGCCCTGGCAGCGCATCACCTGCTCCTGGAAGGGAATTACCCAGCGCCTGTACCCCGCTGTTCTGGGCGTGCTTCTGTCTCTGGGGCATAGGGGAACAGGAATCCTGCTTTTCCCCTCGTGGAGCTGGGATTTCTCCCTATGGAGAGCAGCCAGGTTACATGGGCTGTCTTTGAGCTCGGTCGGGTCAAATTTCCAGGTGGAATTTCTGGATAAAAGCGAGAAAGGGGGGGAAAAAGTAAGTCAGAATCCTGCTCCTGATATCCCCAGGATGCTGGATTCTGCCTTCCCAGGGCTCGGAGCTCCCCTCTGCCCCAGCACAGCCCCGGAGGCTTCTCCTCCCCCCAGCCTGTGAACACCAAATAATCTGGGAACGCTCCTTGCCCGTCAGGTCACCCCTCTGCTACCTCTCGTCCCGGGCTCAGCAGGGACCGGCTTTGTTCCACCCCAGCCCCGCGGTGTCCCGGGCAGGGGGACAGGGGTCCACTGTCCCTGTGCCATGGCAGCCACCGGCAGGGCCACCAGCTCCGACCCCGCCGGCTTTTCCCGCAGGGATGTCACCTCCATCCCGGTGAGACCCTCGGCAGCAGCCGGGAGCTGGAGCAGCACTTCCAGTTGTGTTCTTGGGGGTTTTTTTTTCTCTCTGCATATCCCTTATAGGAAAGTGAGTCCCCCCGCTTTTTTTTTTATTATTTTATCTATTTATTTTTTAATCGTTCTGGTTTATTTTTCGCACCAGAGTTGCAGCTCATCTGCGGCCTGCCCTGCAGGGTGGGTTGGCAAAGGGCAGCCCCTGTCAGGAGATGATGATGATGATGATGATGATGGGGCAGTGAAGGGCGAGCAAGAGGCCAAAGGGGTCGTGGTTTGTCCATGGCTGGTCCTTGTGTGACACAGGGAAACACCATCCTCACCTCCTGAGGCAGGATCTGTGTCTGATCCATCCTCCAGCAAAACCATCTCTGTAATTCCTGCTGTAGCGAGGAGCTGGAGGGGCTCAGCGCTGCTCTGGGCAGCAAACCAGGACACCCAGCTCTGTCTCCCACCACAGCCAGGTGTCCACGGCCCAGCAGCTCTGCTGTGCCCTCAAAATGATTCCCCTTAAAGGCAGCTCCAGCTGAGCTCCAGTGCCTCTCAGCGCCCCATCCCTGCCCCAGGGCTGGGGGTACACACACCCTGCTCCTCCCTCCCTGCTTGGGGAATCAAACCCCTTGCTCCAAAATGAACAGAAAAAGGGAAAAAATGAGGAAAGGCAATGGGAGGGGACACGGGGCCATCTCAGCCGGGAAGGGCAGTGGCACTTGTCACCATCCCTCGCCTTCACGGCAAGCCCGGCTCCCCCAGCCAAGCTCATCCTGTCAGGATTTATTAACACATGTAAGTCCACTTATCGATCTCTGGCTAGAGCTTTATCCCTCTAAATTGTCTGAGAAGGAAATTCCTCGGTAAATGCTAATAATAAAGCATTTATGAAGTGCTCTGACGTACACATATCAACGACTAAGCCAATACATTGTTTGTTATAACCCTGTAGCCTGCAGTTTATAGCACAATTAGTTACAGGTTTTTATAGCATCTATTTAGTATTTTGAAGAAAAAAAAAAAACAAAAAAAAAAGGTTATAAATATAATTGTTATATTCTATTGTACTTTATAGACAGAGGAAGTTATATTAGTAATAATAACAACTCTCACTGCTTCGACAGCACTTCCCAGCTCCCGGGAAAACGAGGGCTACAAAGAGTTACTTTCCCAAGAGCCCAGGAAGGGGTAGGTGGTGGTGGTGGCACCCTGGGTGCAGGCAGGGAATCCCAGGCAGGAAGATCCGAGGTTTCCAGGCGCAGGGATGGGAGCTCACGGGAGCACAGCAGCAGCCACGAGCACCCCGCAGCCCTACTCACCCCTTACTACAGATTTACCACTCACCCAACGCCACCCTGGTCCTGCTGAGAGCAGCCTGGGCCTGGCACAGGCTGGGATGGCCCCACTGCTGTGCCCAGGGCAGCGCCAGGTTTCTGCCCCCGTGCTCGTGGAGGTGATGCCTGGGTTTGGTTCGGCCCCACCAAGGATGCTTCCCTCTCCCTCCCTCCTCCTCCTGCCCCACTGAGCATCCCAGTTGCCTGGACTTGGCTTTCCTTCCCCCCCTGGACTCCTTGTCAGAGATTCCCGAGGTGTCTACACCGCCTGTGACGCCCTGCACCTCCTTCTTTGAAATTGAATTAAAAATCAGGTCTGTCCCCCTTGTTCCATACCAGCCTCAGGAGTGTTTTTGCCGGCAGGTTTTGAATTCCCAGAGTCCCAGCGCTCACATTTGCTGCTCCTCTGCAGGGAAGTGGGGCTGACTTCATCCTCTGGTGGAAAACGGGGCTCTCCTGGGCCTTGTGGGCTTCTCAGAGGGACGGGGATGGGATAATCTCAGCATTATCCTCTCTCCCTCCCCACCCACACAGAAAAGATGTGGAAACAGAAGAGTTTTGGTACATCTCTATTGCACAACCAGCGTTGCTGGGTCCGTGGCTGCGGGCTCAGGGTGCAGCAGTGCCTGCTGTGACCCTCGGTGACATCCATCACCCCAGGATGGATGTCACCCACGGGGGCAGCCAGGGACCCCTCCTGTGGCCCCCTGACCTGAGGGACCCCAGCACTCTGCAGCTGTCACACACGAGGCTGTCCCGTGGTGCAGATGGGGAACATCGAGGAACACTGACATTTTTATGGGTGTCAAGGGTGGGTTGTCCCCACTTCAGGGTGGCTCAACCCTTCCTCCTGCAGAAAGCATCCCATTCTCTCAATTTGGGGCTGGGTTTTTCCACCCAAACCAGTACAAAACGCCTGCTTAGCAGGATTACCAGTACACAAAAGGTTCATGGGGAAGGAGGGGGCGCAGCTCTCGAAGTGATGTGGGGCCCCTCGCTTGGAATCCTCGGGCACTGCAGCTCCAGTTCCAGCTTCAGCATCGCTCCCACCTTTGGAGGGAGCGGTCCGTCCGTCCGTCCGTCTGTCCGACTCTCGGGGTGGGCTCAGACCCACGACTCTTCATCATCCTCGGTCAGCCAGGTGCTGCTGTCAGCCAGGGGCGGCTCGGCCGTGGGGCGGCTGCTGCCGGAC